CAGGATGACGGCCAAAGGCCGTCTACCAGTTACGCCCAACTGGCAGCGATGCCAGCAGTACCGAAACCGACAACAGAAGCCCCTCAACCCCAACAAGAGGAAGAGAAGGCACGATACCCACCGATCGTTGCGGAGTGCCTCCCGGACTGGACGAAGCACTTCGAAATATTAAACAAAAAATTAGGACATCCACCTAACGCTCGTCCGTTCGGGAAGGGTGTCAGATTCACCCCACAGAGCCCGGAAGAATTCCGGGCAATACAAAGATACCTCATCGAGCTCACCGAGAAAGTACCAGCGTTGTCGTGGTACTTCTACACCCCGGCGGAGGAGAAGCCCACTAAAGTGGGCATCCGGGGGCTGCCAGTGGGCACGGATACCGTCCAAATCGCCGAGGCTATCAGGGCAAAAGGATTTCCAATTAACTATGTGAGAGCGATCCCGCCCCGTAGAGGCAGACCTGGGTGCCTCTACTATGCACAGCTGGACCATTTGAACATAGAGAACCTGAATAAATTGTACGCAGTCGACGAGCTCCTTTTCATGAAAGGAGTCGTCATAGAAGCCTGGCAAGGACGAGTGGGACCGGCTCAATGCCACCGTTGCCAGGCTTTTGGCCACGCATCCGCCAACTGTCATAGACCCGTGAAATGTGTCCGCTGTGCAGGGGAACACATTGCAAGTAATTGCCCACGGGGTAGAGAAGAACCACCGACGTGCGCAAATTGCGCAAAAAGCCACACAGCTAACGACAGACGCTGCCCAGTCCTGAGGAGGATCCCCAGGAAGCAAGGGATCACTCTGCCGGGTTTACTGCCGGAAGCACCGCAGAGGGTCCCTCAGAGTCGCCCGAGGGTTGAAATCCAAGAGGACGGGTGGGCAACCATCAGGGGGAGAGGGAGGCAAAACGCCCCCCCCCCACCCGCTACTGCACCACCTGCACCACCAGTACCGGAAACGGTGGAAGCTGCAAGAGCAACCACCGGGGCGACTCTACAGCCCCCCGCCAATGACGCCGTAGAGAGGCAACCCTCTAGGAAGAAAAAGCGGGGGAAGAAGAAGAAGAAGGTGCAGCCTCCTCCTCAGGCAGCGACCTCTACCCCGACACCAACAGTAATGATAGCCTCGCAAGCGCAGGCAATCAAGAAGATAACCACTACAGAAGGTAGAGCGCCAGAAAGGGCTCTATCAGAAAATAGAGCCCGCTCTACACATAGAGCGCGCTCTACCTTAAGAAAAGAGACCTATGCCCAGCCGAGACCAGTACCTTCAACATCAAGACAACCAACCGCCAACTCTACCACCACGGACGCAATCCTGAGGCTGGCTGGCATCGCCATAGAGGTCGGTAGCCAGGTACTGGCAGACGTCAGAGCTGGCACCGACCCAATAACAGCAGTGATGAAAGCACTGTCGACACTACTGGCTCGGCACTACAGAGGCGAGTGATACGAACTTGCGCTTGCTATACTGGAACCCAGACGGTATCCAGTACAAGCTCCATGAACTCCGCACTATAGCTCAACAACAAAACATACACGTAATTTTGCTGGGGGAGACAAAGTTGAGGCCATCTACGCACGTGAAGATGCCCAACTACCACATCTACAGGAGGGACGAGGTCAACGCTCTAGGAACCGCCTATAGAGGCACGGCGGTTCTAGTGAGAAAGGACATCGTCCACCTAGAGCTCGGATTACCGTCATACCATACGACGCGCTCCATCGGCATAAAAATGGAGGCGGCGGGCGAGGAACTGAAGATCTTCGCAGCATACCGTCCGCCAGGGACTCCATTTCACTCCTCAGACATCCGGACGATCATGGAAGGCACAACACCAACCATCATCGCGGGGGACCTAAACGCAAAACACCCGGCATGGGGATCAAGATTGATCAACCCGCCGGGTCGTGAACTTTACGAAGATGCAGAAAGAAACAACTACGACGTTTTAGGTCCCGAAGAACCAACACACGTTCCAACAGACCACAGGAAAAGTCCGGATGTATTGGACATTGTGCTCGCTAGGAACGTCAACTACCCGGTAGTGGTAGAGGTGCTGTATGACCTGATGTCTCAGCACCTCCCGATTCTGATAACACTTGGCCTCAAGGCAGTGACTACGCTGCCCAGAGCGTTTACTACCAAGATTAACTGGAGGCTCTACCAGCAACACCTGCAGGAGAGGCCTCCAGTGATTACATCGATCACCTCGGCGGACGACGTAGAGACCGCCGCTGCCAAAATAACTAACAACATCCAAGAAGCCCTCAACGCGGCCTCTACGATCGTCCCTCTAACAAATCGAAGAGAAGAGCTGCCACAAGAACTACGTGCGCAGCTCAATCACAAGCGAGCGTTGAGGAAGCTCTGGGCACGTACGCGCTGCCCAAGGATTAAAACGAGATTAAATGCACTGACGGATGAGCTGTCGGTTGCAATACAGGCCTACAGAGGAAGGGCCTGGGAGCGGCGCATATGGAAGGCTGGAGATCAGGAAGCGTCGCTCTATCAATTGAACCGACAGCTAACTAAGACCAGATCCCCCGTCTGCCCGCTAACCAACAGCGCGGGCGGGCGTTGTTACGAGGCCAAAGGTAGAGCGGATATCCTAGTCGAGCATTTCGAGGAGCAATTTATGCCGAACCCAGCAAGTGCGGAGTACATGGAGCTTCATGCCCAAAAGGAGAGCCGCGTACGGGAGTTCCTGTCGTCGCCCGCGCCACCGCTTGCAGGAGAATGGTTCATCTCCCCCGCTGAAATGCGGAGGACGATTTCCCGCCTGCAACCGAGGAAGGCGCCGGGGCACGACCGGATTACGAACGCTGCACTCCGACAACTGCCCCATAGAGCCATTGTAGAGCTAGGACGACTCTACAATGGCATACTGCGGACTTCACACTTCCCGGAGGAATGGAAGAAAGGAAAGGAGATAGTGCTGCCGAAACCCGGGAAGGACAGGCGTAGAGCAGCTAGTTACAGACCAATAACGCTGCTACCGCACATAGCCAAATTATTCGAACGTATCACCTTAAGAAGAATCCGCCCGTGTATCAAATTACGGGCGGAGCAACATGGATTCAGGAGCGGACACTCCGCAGCAACACAGCTGACCAGAGTGCTGCACCTATTGTCGGCCGAATACAACCGGGATCGCACATCGTTGGGCGTCTTCCTCGATATCGAGAAGGCGTTCGACAGGGTGTGGCACTCTGGTTTACTCTTTAAGATGGAACAACAGACGAGTGTCCCTCCGGCTATGCTGCGGCTAGTGGCGTCGTTTCTAGCCGACCGGAGCTTCTACGTCTGTGTCGAAGATGCCGAATCCGCAGTAAAACCCATAAGAGCTGGCGTACCACAGGGCAGTTGTCTTTCACCGATCCTGTACGCGGCTTATACAAATGACATCCCTACTTTGGCTGGACATCTACGCGAATGGGAGGACGACGTGGAGCTGGCGTTATATGCGGACGACAGCGCCTACTTCGCCTCGTCCAGAAGCCCCCATCTCGCCGTCGCCAAGATGCAGCGCCTGCTGGACCTGCTGCCATCGTGGCTGGATGAGTGGAGGATGGCTGTAAACGTTGGGAAAACGGCCGCCCTCCTCACCCGCCGCTACCGGAACTTTCCGCCCCCGTTGACGCTTAGAGGCCAGGAGATTGCGTACGAAAAGGCCGTGACTTACCTTGGGTGCCGGATCGACAGGATGTTGCGCATGACCGCGCACGTCGACATCGTCGTCCGCAATGCCAGATGTGCGCGGACGGCGCTCCGTCCGGTCCTGGCATCCAAACTACCGCTGAAAACAAAGTTGAAAATCTATAAGTTATACATACGCACAAAGATCACCTATGCCGCGCCGGCCTGGTACGCACTCCTGAGCGAACGGCAGAGGCAGCGGCTGCAGGTTCAGCAGAACCTAAGTCTACGAACCATCGTCGGTGCAGGTCGCTACGTCCGGAACGACGTCATCGCGGCGAACCTTAAGATGGAAACAATCAAGGAATTTGTGGCCCGATTAGCGCGCGGTATGTTCGACCGCGCTGATAACGGGCCACACGAACATCTACAAAATTTTGCTCCCCTACATGCTCGACCACCGGACGGGCGACCTCTGCCAAGAGAACTCCTCTCTATAGAGATTAGAGAGTCGAGTAATAACCCGCAATGCCGCAGACAGGCCAACCCAGACGGCCGGCCGCATTAGCCGCCGGCCATATTGACTTGACACACAAATTTACCAGATAACCATATACCGAACTAGGCGTCTTTTTCAGGCCGAATTAGGCGCCTTTTCAGGAAAAAAGGCCATATAATGCCACGTTTTCAGGAGCGGGCCATATTACCCGCCTCCTGAAAAAATTTTTGGAAGAAGACTTTAAACTGAAAATAGTGACCGGGGAACCAAACCCGTATCACTATAGCATCTAACAATGCCGAAACGGCTCCCACGACCGGTGCATAGTTATGCACCGCGAGGAGATTCCGGGCAATGGGGTCAGCCCCGAGGCCCGAGACCTGTTGGGTGTAGTACACACACCTCAGCAGACGACAACGTAGGTGTCGCCACCAGTTCGTCGCCGGCCGTGCTACAGTGCGGACGTGTCTAGTGCGCTCCTGTGTTGTGTACGTGTTGTGCTAGTGATTGACTCCGCCGACGTCGAGTTCGCTCCGTTTGGCGTCGAGGCGTCGCTGGCGCATTTCCTGCGTCGGACTGTTAATAAGGTAAGCGTAAAGGTCACTACTTACGCTGTGCCCTACTTTACGTTTTACCTTTTTGTACACTGTACCCTCTTTTTATAACAAAAAGTGATTGCAAGTGTTCCGCATTTGAGTGAGATTACGCCCATCCCATCTGCGCCTCACACACCCCTCCCTGCTCGCGGGCGCCTCGCTGGGCCTCCCTCACGGGTCTCACCCGGTGTGGTTGCACGCGCTGAGGGGAGTAAGGTGTGTGATAGCTAAGGGCTGAGCATAATTAATTAGTAATGTCGGACAAGGGGGAACCTCCCCCAACACGCCGTAAACCACCTGATAGGCGTCCGGGAGTACTCGACAGGCCCCTCATGGAGCGAGACCTCTTCGCTCCTGAGAGATCTAGAGTGCTCCCACCTTACAGCCAACTCCCGAGGCGAATAGGCAGTATACCGGCGCCCGGCGCCGCGCTCGGCGCAGGTGAAGCTGTGTCTTCACCGAGCGCAGAACTGGCTCCATTACCACGCCGGAGCCTAGCCTCGCGGAGACGTACACCTCCTGAGATAGAACAAGACCAGCTGCAAGAGGAGAAAAGGCTGAGAGCCGGATCAGACTCACTATCTGATTCGGCATCGCCTTCTGCCTCTGCCACACCACCTGAGATACAAGCCCCACAACCTGTGGTAAGACATAACAGACCGCCTAACTCACCGTCTCCAACCACCTCTCCGGCCTGCACCGCTGACATGCAGGATTTCGGTGAGGAAGACCCGGAAGGAGAGAGAGAGTGGGACAATACGTCCTACGCCACTCTAGCCCCAATTCAAGACTCCCAACCTGTAAACCAGGAGCCCATACCTGGTCCATCTTCAGCGCCAGACTCTTATGCGCAAATTGCGAGGTCAGCGCCACCATCACCTCCACCACCACCTGCACAGAAAGAACAACAGCCAGTAAATAACCAGGCCAAATACCCTCCTATTATAGTGGAGTGCTTCCCCAACTGGGCGAAGCACTTCAAAATCATACATCAACTTTTGGGTCACGCTCCCAATGCTCGCCCGTTTGGGAAGGGAGTCCGTTTTCGGCCCCAGTCCGACGACGAGTATCGGAAGGTCCAGCGCTACCTCATCGATAAAAGCAAGGAGGATGCCACCTTCGTGTGGTATTGCTACGCCCCACAGGAGGAGCAACCCACGAAGGTGGGGTTAAGAGGGCTCCCTGCCGATACAGACCCTAAAGACATACAGGAGGCCCTCATAGAGAAGGGCTTTCCAGTTACATTTGTACGGTCAATTCCACCAAAAAGAGGCAGGCCTGGCTGCCTGTTTCACGTGAAAATGAGTCACCTAAGCCCCGAAGAGCTCAACAGATTATACCAAATTGATGAGCTCCTTTACATGCCGGGAGTAACAATCGAAGGCTGGACAGGCAGAATTGGCCCTGCGCAGTGTCACAGGTGTCAAGGGTTCGGACACGCATCCTACAACTGCTACCGACCCTTCAAATGTGTACGCTGTGCAGGTGACCACCTGGCCTCAGCATGCCCACAACCGCGGGATGCGCAACCTAAATGCGCAAACTGCGGGAAAGATCACTCGGCGAATGACAGGCGGTGCCCAGTGTTGCAGCGAATTGCAAGGAAGAGGGGGATTAATATGCAACCCCCTATCCCCGCGCAAACAACACGAGCACCGCAACGTCAACCACCCCCACTACAAAGCCAACCACCTGCACCGCATTGGCAACCTCCACCACCTCAAAAACCTCAGTACTACCCACCCCAACAGCAGCAATATTCACAGCAGCAACACCTGCAAAGGCAGGAACCGCAACCGCAACAGCGGCAGGTAACAATCACACCTGCACCAACCACATTTGTTACGACCGGGGCGACTTTAGCACCACCGGCGAATAACGCCACGGAGCGCACAGAGCGCCCAAAGAAAAAGAGAGGAAAGAAGAAGAAGAAGAAGAAGGCAACCACCCAACCAGCTCAAGTGGGTGGTACTTCGACTCCTCTTCCTCCACTCGTCACTACCACACAACAACAGCAATCACTGCCACAACCGCGGTATACATTCCCTCCATCAAATCAGAACGAGCAATCTGCACTCCAACCCCGAGATCAACGCCCACCCAAAAAGACAATAACTGTCGCTCCCCCATTACAGCCCCAGGCACCAACCACCATCGAGGAGGCCCTCGCTCAACTGGTGGGCGTGGTAATCAGGATCTTAGGAGAGGTCCTGACTGCCATGACCACCGGCACCAACCCCCTTTCGGCCATCCTAACGGCCTTAGCCCAGTTAACCTCCGTCAGCAGGCCATCCACTTAGGATGTGTTATTGGAACCCCGGCGGCATCTTAGGGAAGGTCGCCGACCTGAGAACCCTGGTCCAGCAGCATAATATTCAAATTGTGCTACTGGGGGAGACCAAACTGCGCCCCTCTGCTCAATTAAAACTCCCCAACTTCTTTGTGTACCGACATGACGAGATCTCCTCAGAAGGTATCGCGTACAGAGGTACTGCGGTCCTTGTGAGGAGGGACGTCATGCACGAAGAAGTTGGCACCAATACACAGTTTATATCCACCAGAACCAAGGGTGTAAGGCTGAGGGTAGGCACCAGAGAAATTAGAATCTTTGCTGCCTACAGACCTCCCGGCACCTCACTTGCCCCCCAAGACATACGTACCATATTTGACTCCACGACACCTGCAATTATCGCCGGAGACCTCAACGCGAAACATCCCGCTTGGGGCTCCGCGCTGATCACACCACCCGGCAGGAAACTGTTCGACGACGCCGAGTAGTGGGGGTACGAGGTGCTGGGCCCTGATGAGCCCACCCATATCCCGACAAAGCCAGAACATAAGCCCGATGTTCTTGACATTGTGCTGTGTCATCTAGTGCCGTATACAACACGGTTAGAAGTGTTGTATGACATAGATACACAACACCTCCCCGTGCTGATTACTATCGACACCAGTGCGGATGCCATGGTGCCCAGAAGTCTCCGAATGAAGACAAATTGGACCCGCTTTCGTAGTGCGCTGGAGGACTTCCAACCTTGCGCCCCAATTACCACCAGTGAAGATGTGGAGACTGCGGCCCTACATCTTCACAACACTATAAAAGATAAACTCCAACTCCACTCTCACCCTGTCTCCACGGGGCGCGGGAAGGAGGGACTCCCACGCAATCTCCAAACGCTCCTGTCCGAGAAGCGGAAGATGAGGAGACTCTGGGCACGGACACGATGCCCACGGATAAAAACTAAACTAAACGCTATGACGGAAGAGCTGTCGGAAGCAATGAGAGCTTACAGGGGAGAAGCATGGGAGAGGCGAGTCGACGAAGCCTCGGAGACACCCGCCTCCCTGCATCTCCTCAACCGGCAGCTCACCAAGACACCACCACCTGTCTGCCCACTGGTGGACAGCACGGGGAGCAGAATCTACGACGCCCAAAAGAGAGCGGAATTGATGGCACAGCACCTTGAACAGCAATTCATACCCAACAGTGTAGCAGAGGGGTACGCAGACCACGTACAAGGCATAGAGGACCGCGTACGGGAATACCTCTCTAACCCGGCGCCGCCATTGCGAGGCGGCGATTTCATATCTCCAGCAGAGGTAAGGCGCACTATTATGCGCCTACCTAGCCGTAAAGCGCCGGGTTACGACGGCATCACCACCATAGCCATAAAGCAGCTGCCCAGAAGGGTAATAGTGGCACTCACCAGTCTGTACAATGGCATCCTACGGACTGGCCACTTCCCGACCATATGGAAGCAGGGCAGAATCATCGTGCTGCCGAAGCCGGGAAAAGATAGGAGGTTCCCGGCCAGCTACCGCCCCATAACGCTATTGCCGCACATAGCAAAACTTTTTGAAAAAATCACCCTGAACAGGGTTCTTCCACATGTTACCCTGCGTGAGGAGCAATTTGGCTTCCGCAGGGGACATTCCACAACCTCTCAGCTGGCCCGCGTGCTGCACTATCTTGCGGCCGAATATAACTTCGGCCGCATCTGTGTGGGGGTCCTTCTCGACATGGAGAAGGCCTTCGACAGGGTGTGGCACGCAGGGCTAGTTTATAAACTCATTCAGCACACCACTTTACCGCCCATGCTTGTGCGGTTAATAGCGTCATTCCTGGAAGGGCGGAGCTTCCATGTCTCCTTGGAAGGGGCTGTTTCGGCGGCACGACCGATTTCTGCGGGAGTGCCACAGGGCAGCTGCCTATCACCGCACCTGTACGCGGTCTACACCAACGACATCCCCACCCTCCAAGGCCATCTGGAGGAATGGGAGGATGACGTTGTCCTAGCCTTGTACGCCGACGACAGTGCGTACTTCGCGTCATCACGTCGGGTGGACATAGCTGCTACGAAATTGCAGCGGGTACTCGACCTCTTGCCTGAGTGGCTGGACAAATGGAGGCTGGCGGTCAACGTCGGGAAGACCGTCGCCTTCATGACCAGGCTGGCCAGAACACCACCAACCCTGCAACTCCGCGGGCAGGATGTGGGGTGGAGTAGTACCATTACGTACCTAGGATGCCAGATAGATCGCTCGCTGCGCATGACCCCGATGGTCAATCACGTTGTGAGACAGGCCAGAGCTGCGCGAGCGAAACTATACCCTATACTGGCATCCAAACTCCCAACAAGAACGAAAATAGGTATCTACAAAACCTACATCCGCTCGCGGCTGACCTACGCAGCACCAGCCTGGTACGCGTTGACCTCGGCCACTCAGCGCAAGAGGTTGCAGGCCCAGCAAAATCTTGCGCTACGGGTGATCGTGGGAGCCGGTCGCTACGTCAGGAATGACATCATTTCTCGCGACCTCAAGGTCGAAACCATTCATGATTTTGTGGTCCGTTCTGCGAGACGGTTGTTCGACCGCGCAGACAACGGGCCACACCTACACCTTCAAAATCTTGCTCCCCTCCACGCCCGCCCACCTGACGGGCGACCACTCCCACGTGAACTTCTACGCTCACTGCCCGCCACAGGGGACGCCGGGGGTGAGTGAGCGTCCCGACACTCGACGTGATGGCGCGAGGTGCGCAATACACCTACATATAAGCTGCCAACGCAGCACCCAGGACCGGGGGGTCGTGTCCTCCTGAGATGCCGCCCATGTAAAGAGGGTCTCCTCGACACATGAAAACCTCCACAAGGAGATGAACCACCACTGTCGCCACCTGACTGCTGGACCTGCTGCCACCGTGGCTGGATGAGTGGAGGATGGCAGTGAACGTGGGAAAAACAGCCGCTCTACTCACCCGCCGATACCGAAAACCACCACCACCGTTGGAATTGAGAGGACAAGAGATTGCGTACCAGAAAGCCGTAACATACCTTGGGTGCCGGTTTGATAGGATGCTGCGCATGACCGCGCACGTCGACAACGTAGTCCGCAGCGCTAGATGTGCGCGGGCTGCGCTGCGTCCAGTCCTGGCATCCAAGCTGCCACTGAAAACTAAGTTAAAAATATATAAGCTATACATCAGAACAAAGCTAACATACGCCGCTCCAGCCTGGTACGCACTCTTGAGCTACAGACAAAGGCAACGGCTGCAGGCCTAGCAGAATCTATCATTACGGACTATTGTAGATGCAGGCCGCTACGTCCGGAACGATGTAATAGCGGCCAACCTAAAAATGGAATCTATAGAAGACTTTGTAGTTCGATTGTCGCGCGGAATGTTCGACCGCGCTGACAACGGACCGCATTTACACCTTAACAACTTCGCGCCGCTACACACTCGCCCTCCGGACGGGCGGCCTTTACCAAGAGAACTCCTCTCTACAGCGATTAGAGAGTCGAGTGAAATCCGCAATGCCGCAGATAGGCCAACTTCGACACCCAGGCCAATTGTGTCGATTACACAGTCGACATAACTGGCCAGGCGAAATTAAAATGACATAAACCAAATTAGGCGCCTTTTTCAGGCAGAGACCGAATTAGGCGCCTTTAATAGAATACCAAATCAGACACATACAAAAAACCAGAAGACCAACCATCCCGATTTATCGGCAACAAGCACCGACCCATAGAAATGGGTTGTGAGGATCACCCGGGAAATGGGGGAAATGCCCCGAGACCCGAAACCTGTTGGGTGTAGTACACACCCCAGCAGATGACAAGTAGGAGTCGCCACCTGTGTATTATCCTATTTTAAATAAGTAACTATGAAGTAAAACAGATTACCTTGTAGCACTTTTTATTCACCTTATAACGAATAACAATAATTACATTATACTTAATGTAGATGATAACAACTAGCAGAGTGACTTGCTTGCACACGACCGAAGTGAACTGAACTGAACTAAGATACCTCTGGCAATTTAATTTATAGTGTACAGCGCTGTTACAACTACCCACTAATCTTATTATTTTTACCTATGTTACTCTATGGTTTTATAATTTATTAAATCTGAAACATATCTATATTTAATAATCATTTATGTTTAATAATTTATTATATAGGTGTCGATGATTTCAAATCCACTCGTAACATTCGGCCATCCTGAGTCGTACGCGTCCCGCGGCGCTCATTATATTCACCATTTTGCCTCTGAAAGGAGAAAAGAAAATTGAGCAGTAAATTGTGCCATTTCCAAAAAGAAATCATGTAGATGAGATTTATTTTGTTTTATTACAAGTCATTAATAAAGGTTTATACTATTAATATACCTAGTTGTTTACCTAATAGTTCTTGTACATTGGCCATCTGGGGCTGGTTAACTTAGCCATCCTAGTGTTTCAACAATTCTGGGTTTATTAATTTAGCTGTCCTTGTATTATACCTATTATGGACTTGGTCACTTAGCTGTCCGGGACCTAAAACTCTATTATGGACTTGGTCACTTAGCTGTCCCCTTGTTTTAACTATTATGGACTTGTTCACTTAGCTATCCCTTATTTTAATTGTTATGGACTTGTTCACATAGCTGTCCCTCACTTTTAACTATTATGGATTTGTTCACTTAGCTATCCCTTGTTTTAATTGTTATGGACTTGTTCACATAGCTGTCCCTCACTTAACTATTATAGACTTGTTCACCTAGCTGTCCTTCTTCTATTTGTTATGGACTTGTTCACATAGCTGTCCTATTATTTTAATTATTGTTAGACTTAGCTATATCTGTACTTTAGCTGCTTTGTAAATATTTATTTAGAGTTATTATATCAAATTAAACCAACAGACTTAAACAATATGTTTTATTTAAAACAATATTTTAGTTGACAACTTTATAACAAAACAATTTATAACAACTCAATTTTAAATAATAAGGCAAAAATAATTAAGAAATAATAAATGGTTTCTTTTAATATTATTCTAGAAATTAATTAGATACACGCATTTCCAACAAAGGCAGTAGACATGCTTAACTTTCTAAGAGGTCTATCAGATCATCCCTGTCTACTTCACGGTCGCTAGATGAACTGTCATCATCTGATAGTGTTGATTTATATGGTCGTAGACTCTCACCGCTGACTACGGCACTGAACCTTCTATAACCTTTCATACCCATAATACTACTTATTTTATAACGATCGAGTGATTGCTCGGCCCTACACACTTTATATGGACCTGTGTATGAACTATTAAGCTTTTTGGTGACTTTAGCAGTTGTATCTCTAGACACACCCCCTTTCCATAAAACCAAATCTCCTATTTTATACTTTTGGCATTTTTTGTGCTTACGATCAAATCTACTTTTCATTAAGGTCATATTCCTGTCAATGCGAAATTTAGCATCTTTTCTTCTAGTTTGTAAGTTTTGTTGTTGAGAATCATAATCTTGGGGAAATTCTTTAGGAAAACATGGGAAACGTGAATTGTCGTGGCCAAACATTAAACTAAAAGGTGTATGTCCCGTAGTAGAATTAGGGGTATTATTAATTCCCCAGACTACATCTGACAATTTGTTATCCCATGTACATTCACTGTCAGAAATTGTATTTAAGCCATTTAGTAAAGTACGGTTTACACGCTCCACTTGACCATTGGAACGAGGGCATGCTATAGCATTTAAAATGTGTTTAAATTGTAACTCAATGGAGAAAAGTTTAAAATAGCGGCTAGTAAATGCCTTGCCTCTGTCTGTAATAATTCTTTTTGGATTACCGAATTGGGACAGTATGTCTTTCAGCAGCCTTATGGTCTCTATGGAGCTGCAGTTCTTAGCTGCCCTTGCGAAAACAAACTTGGTAAATGCATCAATAACGACAAGAATATAAGTATTACCTTTACGAGTTTTTATGAAAGGACCCAGATGATCTGCGTGTATGGTATGCATGGGACAAGCTGCTTTGTCTATCGGGTGTAGTTCACCCTCTAGTTTGCCATGGTTGCCCTTACCGAAGGCGCATTGTAAGCAAGCGTTGATGTACTTACGTATGAACCGTGTCATGCCCGGAAACCAAAATTGTGCTTTGATGGTCTTCTCGCATTTTTCGAAACCCGGATGCCCTATCTGATCGTGAAGTTTTTGCAACAACCCATATTTGGCCAATTTAGGAATAACAAATCTCTCTCCACCAAAAGTTTTTCTAAATAGCAGGTTATCTTTAACTACATAGTTAGCTATTAAGTCTGGATTAATGCTTTGTTCGCGGAATTGTGCGAGAATATTTTGAATACCTTCATCTTGCATTTGCAGTGTTTTTAACCAATCATCGTTATCTATCATGAGAACAAAATTCGAGGATGGGTTCCTACTCAGGGCATCAACATGCTTCATACGTTCGCCTGGCCGGTACTCTATTTCTAGGTCAAAGTCTTGGATAGTTAGCCACCATCGGGCTATACGCGGAATCAAATCCTTTTTAACTAACGTAGTGCGTAGAGCCGCGCAATCCGTAACTATCTTTACGGGTATGCCTGTAAGGTATATACGAAAACGTTTAAGGGATTCTACAACAGCTAGAGTCTCCAATTCATAGCTATGATAACATCTTTCTTCATTCGTCGTGACTCTACTAAAAATGCGATTGGTTTTAAGTTACCATCTCTTTGGTGTTGGATGAGCACCCCGCCTAAGCCGAGTTTACTTGCATCGGTATGGAGTTGTGTTTTAGCATCCTTGTCGTATATGCCTAAAACTGGTCTTTCTATTAATCGTTGCTTTAGTGTACGAAATGCTTGTTCCTGCTGGGAATCCCAATGCCACTCTATATCCTTTTTAGTGAGTTCAGTTAAGGGTTGTGCTATTTGTGCAAAGTTTCTTATAAATTTTCTAAAATAAGACGTTAATCCAATAAACTGCCTGACTTCGTGTACATTTCGGGGCCGACGATATTCAGCTACGCAGTTAATTTTAGCTCGACCTGGCTGTATTGTACCGGCAGAGATTTCATGGCCCAAATAATTAGTGGTATTTTTAAGAAATGAACACTTTTTTAAATTCAATTTTAGATTAGCTTTTTCAAGTAACCCCAAGACTTGTTCCAAAAGTTCTAATCCCCTTTTTACTGAAATAGTTGGAATCATAACATCATCTAAATATAGAGCTATTTCGTGAGATACTTCCCCTAAAGTTACTTGGATTAGTCGCGCAAATACAGCTGGTGCATTGGATAATCCAAAAGGCATTTTTAAAAACTCATAAAGGCCTGATTGGGTGATAAACGCGGTTTTTCTTATGGACTCATCATCAATTGGTACTTGGTAGTATCCCTGAGCGAGGTCTAGTGTTGTAAAATAGGATTTACCCGATAGACGGGTAACTTGGTCTTCAATGTGAGGTAGGGGATATCGATCCTTAATAGTATTAGCATTCAACGCCCTATAATCGACACAAAGCCTATAATCCCCTCCTTTTTTCTTGACTAGGACAACAGGACTAGCATACTCCGATGTGGATTTTCTTATAATTCCTGCTTCCAAGAGTTCATTTATTTTGCCGTTCATTATTTCATTTTCCTTATGCGAAACTCTGTACGGTTTACGATACACAGGTTGGTTAGAAATAGTTTTTATGTGTAACTTAATTAAGTTAGTACATCCTAAATCTTTCGTATCTCTGGCAAATGAATGAGCATACCTATTCAATAATTGTAGCAATACATTTATTTCCCTATGATTTAACTCACCCACATCGATATCGGACAATTTAATTTCGGACTTATTGGTGACTTTGTCTATAATAAGAGTATTGGTTTCAAAGCTATTATTTTTTTGTTTTAAAATCTCTGCTCTAGCTACGAGTTTATTAGCAGGCCATGATATAGTTTCATTCCCAACATTTAGGACCTTTAAATATGACATACTGGAATTAATAATGGCTTCTGGAATATAATACGATAACCCACCTAGCTGAAAACATACTGCATGTGTTAGGAATGCGTGCTCGTTTTTGTCAGTATTACTGTCACAGTCGACACTTACGCTAATGTATGCATAGGTTCGGCTAGGTATAGTGACGTCTAGTTTTGTAAAGACTGGAAATTTTGAAACATATTCAATTATGTTAAAACTGTTTTTTGTTAAGACATCTCCTAAAGTGAAGGTTGGAACAAATTTTACGAGATTCGACGTAGTAACTAAGCTCACATTTTCTTGATTTATCATTGATTGTCCGATTATTAAGTCTATATCTGGTAGCTTGCAATCGGTTAACTCTACATCTCCTACCAAAAATAAATCATCAACATTTACAATAATTTGGCAAGTACCTAGCGAATATGAACAGGCTCCTCCAAAACCCTTCATTACAATAACTGAGGGCCGAGTTTTAAGTTTCATTTTTTGGGCTTGTGTAATAGTAAGTATGCTAAGCTTACTTCCAGTATCTATATAGGCCATCAATTTGATACCATTAACGATGACTCTTTTTTTATAAATATGTGGGTATTTATTAAGCGTAACGTGTAATACGTCACTAACCTTATAAGCCTGTTGTTGCATGGGACCAACTCCAGAGTTGGCTGCAGTTCCAGTAGCATACCAGCATGCAGCAGTTGCATGCCCTAGACGCTGACACACATCACAGCGCTGCTGGCAGTCCTTCCTTTCATGTCCTGGTCGTCGACACACATAGCAGATCTTGGGAACAAGTTGACGGCGACCCGAAGTAATTTGTGTATTTTTCCTCCAGATAGAATTGCGTGGTGTAAACGCGGACGTCTCCGAGCGTTTAAAGTTTTCAAGCGATGACAGATAACCGAAGTAAAGTTGTTCTGGCGTTTCACAATTGTAGGCTTTAGCATTAGCTCTCAATTCATGTGGTAAACCTCGAATAATGCAGGAGATTGCATGTTCACCATTAATGTTGCATTTTTTGAGAAGTGATAACTTTTCATGATAATATTTAGTCATAGTCTCATAGTCACTTTTTGACCTTGCCAACATTGTTTCTAGTCTGTCTACGTAGTCGGTAGATCGAGGAAACGCAGTTTGAAGTGCTTCCTTCCACCCGTCCCAAGTAAGAGCATAATCGTCAAGGTCATCATACCACTCCCGAGCAGATCCAGCAAGGCGTAACTGCATTATAAATTGGCGATCCTTGCAATTCCATCCGTATATGTCACCCAACTGGTCAATTTTATGAAGCCATCCAGTAACGTTACTGGTTTGGTCGTCTGGGCAGAATTTGGGTATAACTTCCGCGTCTATCGGAGACACACGACGTCTTTTGGTGAGCATTGAAGTTCTTTTATTTTGAAAAAAAATTTCGTCATCCTCATCTTCTTCTGATGTTGTAGTGTCGCCGTATCTTCGCTTACATTCTCCTAGTCCTCCAATATACGGTCCGGACATAGTTAGTACGATCCCACTTCTGAAGTTTTAAATAAGTAACTATGAAGTAAAACAGATTACCTTGTAGCACTTTTTATTCACCTTATAACGAATCACAATAATTATATTATACTTAATGTAGATGATAACAACTACTAGCAGAGTGACTTGCTTGCACACGACCGAAGTGAACTGAACTGAACTAAGATACCTCTGGCAATTTAATTTATAGTGTACAGCGCTGTTACAACTACCCACTAATCTTATTATTTTTACCTATGTTACTCTATGGTTTTATAATTTATTAAATCTGAAACATATCTATATTTAATAATCATTTATGTTTAATAATTTATTATATAGGTGTCGATGATTTCAAATCCACTCGTAACACCTACGTAATATCAATTTGTGTACGATATATAACAACAATTTACAATTTTCCTTTGTTATTATCATCTATCGCGAGTTGTGTGAGTCAGTGTTTGTAGTTCGTTTGTGATCTAATACTACTACTACTACGAAGTAATGGCAGATACAGCAGTAGCTTCCGAAACTCCCGCTCCGGCGACTCCGGCGAAAAAACCGAAGGCCGCCGCTACTGCAGCAGGTGGTGCAAAGAAGCCCAAGGCGAAACCCACTCATCCGAAGACTTCCGAAATGGTCACCAGCGCAATTAAAGAGCTGAAAGAGCGCAGTGGATCATCTTTGCAAGCGATAAAAAATATATTGCCGCTCAATATAAAGTCGACGCTGAAAAACTAGCTCCGTTCATCAGAAAGTACCTGAAGAGCGCAGTCGAATCGGGTGCGCTTATACAGACAAAGGGCAAGGGGGCTTCCGGTTCCTTTAAGCTTGAATCAAAATCGTCCGCCTCTAAGAAACCGTCGACGGGTAAGAGCAGCGGTGGCGCAAAGAGCGGCGCGTCCGCCGCTAGCTCGGTGTCGGCGAAGGTGAAGAAGAGCACCGCCGCGGGTAAGGGTAAAAAGGCAGCATCGGCAGCGACCGCATCATCACCGTCTAAGGCAAAACCGTCTGCAGCTACCAAGGACAAGAAGGCGGCCGCCGCGAAAAAGAAGCCGGCAGCCGCAAGAAAATCCGCAACCGCTGGCCAAAGCGGCGTTTCTAAGGCGAAAGGCGCCGCTTCGAAGGCGAAAAAGAGCGCCAAACCACCGACAAAGAAACCTAAGGCTCCAAAACCGAAGAAGGCGGCAACACCCAAATCGAAGCCTTCCGCGGCGGCATCGAAGAAGGCAGCCGCTTCTAAAAAGTAAGGTCCGCTGTCACCGCCTTCCGTCGTCATAACCACCGCCGCCGTACCTACCTACGTACGTACTCGTACGCGTAATTGTCACGCGCGTATGTGATTGTGTAGTGCATGCAGGCTGATGCTGCTGAGAGACAGGTAGGTAGGTAGGTAGGTAGGTAGGTAGGTAGGTAGGTAGGAAGGAAGGCAAGCAGGCAGGCAGAGTGACAGCAAGACGGGACGGACGGGACGGGAGAAGGATCCTCGCGGGTGAACGCGAGTGCCTCGTAGCGCCGCGGCATCGGGCCTATTTATTTTTATTTTATTCTTAAAAATAATACCTATAAAATAAATGGTGTACGCGTGTCGCGTCGTATACGAATATGCGCGAGCGACCGCAATGCTAAAAAGCCCTTTTCAGGGCTAACAAAAATTTCCTATGAGTTTCTTATACGTCACGCGTCAATCATAATGATTGCCTTATTATATATATTACCTACCTATATTATATATATCGCACCGTCCCTCACTTCAATCAAATCAGTCAGTCAGGCAGTTCTATATAATATAATATAAAATATTATGTAATTATGTAAACATTGCAACGAAATAACGAACGCACAACTTATGAACGCACGATAACGATTTAACTAAGTAGGTATATAAATTCGAATAAGCTAAATACACGTATATTAAAACAATAAACGTAGATGCGTCGTAAATGCGTTACAACAATTTACGAAACACTAAATACCTCTATATATATATACACACCACCTACTCAACGAATTCAACGTACTACGTTCACACTTTTAAAAAAATTTTAATAGGTGCCTAGGTAAAATAGATAACACAACCGAATCGAATCGAATCGAACGGAACCGACCGACCGACCGACCGACCGACCGACCGACCGACCGACGCGACGCGACGCGACGAGACGAGACGAGACGAGACGAGACGAGACGAGACGAGACGAGACGAGACGAGACGAGACGAGACGAGACGAGACGAGACGAGACGAGACGAGACGAGACGAGACCCTACACGAACGTAACACGTATAATATTATGTACCTATATAAATAATATTATCACTTTCACACTCCCTAATTTTCTTGTTACAGTTTTTCGTTTTTCTTCCTCTTCGACGACGATATATTATACTATTCTATTCTAACGCGTTATATCCTATTGCTGCTACCTAGTATTCTTCTTTTTTTCTTCTTTACAAGTACATTCGTTTCGCCCTCGCCCGACTGCCCGACTCCCGACTCCCAACTCTGACTTGAGATTTTCCAACTAACTAAAAGTCTGACCGGACCGACCGCGCAAACGTGTTGCGTTCGCGATCGATCCCCACCCCACCTAGTGGCGAATCGATGCTTGCTATATAAAGGAACGCCGCGAGTTTAAAAAAATTAGTTGATTAGAGAGGATTCGGTTGTCTGCGCTCAAGCCGCGCGGACGTATTCTTCGGTCGAGCCCATGCGCTCCCGAATTACTAAGTTGCAATTGTGCGAAAAAAAAGACAATAAAAGGATTAAGTGCTCGAAGTGCTTCAGTGGTGTTGTGCGTCATTGCCGCCGTCAGGTTGCATCGGCCCGCCGGCCCATTGTTCTATTGTGTTAGGGATTAGTGTAGTGCCCCACGCTCTGCCAATTTCCAGTAAAAACTGTAAGTAGTTTATTACACACCGCCGTGCCGCCTCAGAGGCGGCTATTATATTGTTATTGTATTAATCTCTGTGTTCGCTTGTCGCATTAGGCGACAGCTAGGTACACACCCTAACGTACCAACGCGTTAGGTATATAGGTGTTCGTTTAAGCACACACCTCCCCCGCCGTGAGGTGGGGGAGCTTGGTACACAAGTGTTTTCTTAAAAACAAGACAAGATGGCGGCTATAACCATAGCCGAACTCGCCGACTTTTTCAGTCGTGCGTGCCCCGACGTTTAGGCGACCTTTCTAGCGCAACGCCAAACGCCCGCTGCTGAACGTCCGACCGTGTTGGTGGACGACCCTATGTCGCCCAGCACCGGACCCGCGACCCCCGCGTCCGTAGAAACGCTTTATGACGTAGGATCCCCCGCGCCTTCTGCGCTCTCCACTCGTGGGCCGTCCCCGGCGTTCTCGGACGCCGAGACGGGCTCCGAAATGGAGTTCGACGTCGCGAAACCCGCCATGCCCGATGACGATGGCTTCACCGTAGTCTCGGGCAAAAAACGTAAACGTCCCGCCGCGAAAAAGGGCGCCGAGCCTCACTCGGCCCCTTCGTCCCCGTCGTCGTCACCTAACGCCACTCCGGCTAAAAAGACCGCGCCTTCAGCGCGCCCTAAAATCGCCAAAATCGCGAACTCTGAACCCGCCGCGGTGCGCAAGGAAAAACCGCCGCCCCCGATCATCCTTCAGGATAAATCCCGATGGAGCAACCTTTCGCATTGGATTGACTCCAAAAAAATCTTCTGCCCAAAGGTCCACAATGGTGGCCAGGGCATACGCATCCACGTCTCAACGACGGATGACTTCCGCGCTTTAACTGCGCATCTTAAAGTTCAGAAACTGAGCTTCCATACTTACGCCCTTGCGGAAGAACGCAACCTCCGCGTAGTCGTTCGCGGGCTCCCTAAGGAGCTCGAAACCGAGCACATTTTAAGCGATCTTAAATCGCAGAATCTCCCGGTTAGGGAAGTGCACAGAATGCACCACCCCACCGACAAAAAAAGATACCTAGACCTTTGTCTAGTTATCTTAGACCTGTCCCCGGAAGGGAAAGAAATATACAATATTCGCCGAATCTGTAATCTCACTGGGATTACGGTAGAGGCCCCCCGTAATAGGGGCATCGTTGGTCAATGCCACCGATGCCAACTGTATGGCCACTCGGCCAAAAATTGCTATGCGAAACCTAGATGCGTTAAGTGTCTAGGTGACCACGGCACACCCGAGTGCACCCGAACGCCCGAGTCGGAAGGCCCTCCGAGCTGCGTTCTGTGCGGCGAAGCGGGACACCCAGCGAACTATCGCGGGTGTACCAAAGCGCCGCGTAGAAAGTGGCGCGGAGGCGCAAACCGGCGCGGACGAGCGGCTAGCGCTAGTAGGTCCCGTCCTAGGCAACATGCCCCATCATTAGCACCGATCTCGGTGTCTCAACCCGCGCCCCCTCAGCCTCACACCAAACCCGCCCCCGCTAAAGGGTCTTCCGGGCAAGGTGTAAGCTCATCGGTGCCTTCAGCACCCGCGTCGAACGCATGGGTTAAGCCCCCGGCGATTGTTAGCGCGGCCGCCTCACGGCCAGCGCCCTCTCTCCAGGCTCAAAAGCCTAAACTTGCCCCTCAGGCATCTTCTACCTTCGCTGCTGACTTCTCGTTAGTCTGCAGCTTCTTCAACAATATTAATGTTGCCGAAGTGTCTTCCCTGGCCCGTAAACTACGCGAGGCCAAATCCGCTCAAGATAAGCTCAATGCCACCATTGAGCATATCAATCTCATCGACGCGATCGGTTCATTCCAATGCGCCTAAATAATAATCTCTCTAAAACAAAATGGCAGTACAACATACAGGCAGAACCAAACCTAGCTCACTGACTGTCGCGTTCTTTAACGCAAACGGCATCAGAGATCAAAAGGAAGAAATCGTGTACTTTTTACGCGATCATGATGTCGACATCATGCTAGTGCAGGAGACCTTCTTGAAACCTAGCGTGCGCGATCCCAAAATAGCTAATTATACCTTAGTAAGAAATGATAGGCTGACCGGACCTAAAGGCGGCACCTTGATCTACTACAAAAGGTCCTTGCACTGTATACCGTTAGACACTCCACCGCTTGCTAACTTAGAAGCATCGGTATGTAGAATAGCACTTACGGGCCATCCGCCCGGCTTCGAAGGCGAAAAAGAGCGCCAAACCACCGACAAAGAAACCTAAGGCTCCAAAACCGAAGAAGGCGGCAACACCCAAATCGAAGCCTTCCGCGGCGGCATCGAAGAAGGCAGCCGCTTCTAAAAAGTAAGGTCCGCTGTCACCGCCTTCCGTCGTCATAACCACCGCCGCCGTACCTACCTACGTACGTACTCGTACGCGTAATTGTCACGCGCGTATGTGATTGTGTAGTGCATGCAGGCTGATGCTGCTGAGAGACAGGTAGGTAGGTAGGTAGGTAGGTAGGTAGGTAGGTAGGTAGGAAGGAAGGCAAGCAGGCAGGCAGAGTGACAGCAAGACGGGACGGACGGGACGGGAGAAGGATCCTCGCGGGTGAACGCGAGTGCCTCGTAGCGCCGCGGCATCGGGCCTATTTATTTTTATTTTATTCTTAAAAATAATACCTATAAAATAAATGGTGTACGCGTGTCGCGTCGTATACGAATATGCGCGAGCGACCGCAATGCTAAAAAGCCCTTTTCAGGGTTAACAAAAATTTCCTATGAGTTTCTTATACGTCACGCGTCAATCATAATGATTGCCTTATTATATATATTACCTACCTATATTATATATATCGCACCGTCCCTCACTTCAAT